TCCAGGTTATGCAGTTTTGACCGAAAATAGTAGTATTGACACTGTACGACCTCTGTTGTTCTTCGGAGGTCAGTGACATTTACATGATTTTCATCCTAGTGTCGAGTTGTTCTTATATAGAGGTACATCCACTAGTTGGCTAGAAAGCCAGCATACTATAATGAAAAAAATGTCCCAAATTTGATAAAACAAAAGTTTTATCGTCAAAATCTATACGCAATTATTAAGAGGAATAACCAAGTATTTTTTGATAATTATATTTTTTATTTCTTTTCAGAAATTATGGTTAAAAATCTTCTTTTTCTTGCTTTAAAAAAGACTATAAATTAGCATAGCAAATTTTAGCGTCTTTTTTGTAGTGAAAAACATTGATTTTGGAATTCTTGCAAAAATCAAATAATTGTTTGATTTTAATTAAATTTTCAAGACTTATTAACAAATGAATTAAATTATTTTAAAAATGTTTTCTTTTTCTTTTAGAAAATTTTGGTGATTTATTTTACCCCTCACTTATTTAATTTTATGAAATTTCGAGAAATTAAATTTTGTAAAGCTTAATGTTTATATTAATCAAAAGCAGAAGTCCTTGCAGAATTTAAATCCTCAAATTTTTTTTTTAAAACCGGACACTCAGCGAACGGCTCTACATCCTAAAATAGAAAAATGAAATAAAAATAAGATTGAAAAGCTTTTAATTGCTTTTATGAATAAGATATATTAAGGACATTATTGTCTTAATAAAAAGAAATTGTTTTTGTTCTTTTTAAATCTTTTATTAAAATTTTAAATCTTTTAAAATTTTGTATTAATTTGTAACAGTTTGGTGGTGTCGTTATTAAGTAAAAACTATATTTACTAACCATAAATGGAAAAGCTTACTACAGTTCAGCAAACCGGGTATTTAAAAAAGAATTTAAAATTTTTTTTCTATCTGTTTAAATATCAGAAAATACAATGCTATAGTAAATTTAAAACCAAAGTATCTAAAATTCAAGAAAACACTAGATTATGAAGAATATTTTCTTAATTTTTTTTAAACGACTGAGTACTTAAAAGTTATATAAAAAGGCGCTCATGTTATATTCCTCAATTATTTTTACAGATATATCCACTGTAGAAAGACATTAAATAAACTTCCACTTGTCATTGCAACTGCTAACATGTTAACAGCTTAAATAAACAGCTAACACCGTGTTAAAAATGCATTTCAGCGATATATTAAACAAAATAAATTAATATTTGTTTCAAATCGGAATAATTAAACTTTAAATCAGCTAATATACCCCAAATAAAGTTTAATAAAAGAATATTCTATGTTGGAACTTGGAGAGGGGAATTAACAGGAGATAACTAATAAGTGACATCCATTAGACATGGCACGTGGAACTAGAACAGTTTACCCCAGTGAGTGAAATAAAGGGTTAAGTTCGACATTCCAACTACCTGAAGAAGGCCGGAGCGTACAACGGTCGAAACGTTGTGATAAATATGGCAACAAAGATGAGGACAATATCCGAATAATGTAAATAGTGTACATAATGCCTCATCTCAGAAATATAGACAGATTATGAGTTCTGATCTGGCATCTCTGACGATAAACTACATCGGAGGTTTTGAGGAGCATAGAACCAACTCTTAATTGCTGTTGTTCCCAGATGGACTCTGATCTGGGTGGTAGCATCTGCTAGGGTCCCAGCTTTGGTCAAATGGTGAACCCCAAAACCAAAAGCAAAACCTTATGAAAGTATAAAAATACATTTAACTAAAAATAACAGCAAAACATTCATATATAAAAAAAATTACCAACAATACCTATTTATAGTAGAATTACTAACTATACATTTTATCTGGTAGATGGAGACATACAATTGCGTTCAAAATATTTAGATTTCAGCACTAAATAACCCATAGAGAGGTGTGAAAATGGCGCGAAAATCAACAATTTCGAAATGCAAACTCGTTCTAGTCATTTTAAATTAGTTTTGAAATACAAAAATGTATATTGCTTATTGGAAATATTAAATTTAATCAGTTATCTTGAGATTAAAACTAAAAAAAGCTTCAAGAAAGATTTTTCATTTTGAAAAATGCATTTTAAACGTTAGGTATCGCGAATCTGTGGAGGTAGCCACTCTTATAGATTGTTACCACCAGTATCCAACCGTTCGGCTGGTCATAAGACATGCACAAGAAAACAATCATTGCAATAGATAATTCAATTTGTTGATTCCTTTACTCAATAATCGATTAACAAACAATTAATGTTGCAGACCTTCCATTCCGCGTACGCCTGTGTTCATCCATCAATCAAACTGGCGCATTTTCATTTTGATGAAGCTGTCACCTTCTTTGGTAGGAAGAGATACCATCGCCCCCTTTCAGACCAGCAAATAACACTCGACTCGGTAATTTGATAATCGAAACGTTTAACGTCAAGAGAAACAGACGTGTGAAGTTGATCACGTGCGTCGCGCACGAACACCACAACGGATGATAACATCTATAGAAATGCGTTTTCATCTAAGCACACGGATATCAGTAATAAAACAATAGAGATTTCACTCATTTGGTTGTTCGTCATGACGGCATTTGAAATTGTAGCATAATGATGGCACTGTGGTTATTTATAAGTGATATTCAGTAGTACTCAGGGCGATTCTTTTTAAATATAACTCTTCTCTGGGAAGAGAAATCTTGGTTTAAAAATAATCATTTGACTTTTTATTTACGTGGCTGAAGTACAGTCAAAAGGCAAAAATTGAAGGGAAAGAAAACAAATGATGGGATCCAAAAGTGAGGAGAGGAAGACAAAAAATGGGATCCAAAAACCGAGGAGTGGAAGACAAATGATGAGATCCTAAAAGTGAGGAGACGATGATAAATGGCGGGATACAAAATTTGATTATGGAAGACAAATGATGGGATCCAATAAGTGAGTGGAGGAAGAAATATGATGTGATCCAAAAAGTGAGAGGATGAAGACAAAAGATGGGATCCAAAAAGTGAGGGGATGAAGACAAAAGATGGGATCCAAAAAGTGAGGGGATGAAGACAAAAGATGGGATCCAAAAAGTGAGGGGAGAAAGACAAATGATGTGATCCAAAAATTGAGAGGAGGTACGTGAATGATGGGATCGAAAAAGTGAAGGGAATAAGACAAATGATGAAATCCAAAAGATGAGGAAAAGAAGACAAATGATGCGATCAAAAAGACAGGAAATTAAGATAATTGATAGGATCCAAAATGTGATTATGGAAGACAAATGATACGATCCAATCAATGAGAGTGACACGAATGATTGGAACCAAAATGTGAAGGGGATAACAAATGATGGGATCCCAAAAGGTGAGGGAAGGAAAACAAATGATGGGATCCCAAAAGGTGAGGGGAGGAAAACAAATGTTTCTTCTCCCGCACTTTTCACTTGGGGAGCTCTCTTTCGGCTTCTTTCTTCCCAGTCAACTTTGATCTTCAAAAATTTAAATGCAACGTCAATCGTTATCTTCTCTCTTTCCAATTTCTGTTACTATTTAATGTTTTCTTTTTCTTATATTCTCTTACACCCAGTAACCCCCTTGCGTTTTAGTGCCTTGGTTGAGGGGTGAAATGATTAATATATATATATATATATATATATATATATATATGTGTGTGTGTGTGTGTGTGTGTGTGTGTGTGTGTGCGTATTTGTGTACTTAGGCAGCAATCCTTCTTTCATGCACATATAATATGTTTTCTATGTATGTATGTATGTAAGTATATAGGTATGTATGTATGTATATATATATATATATATATATATATATATATATATATATATACGTGTGTGTGTGTGTGCGTTTATATTTTTAATGTTTTACTTCTCCTTGTCTGCCACCCATTTTTTTTTTTTTAGCTACATTTTATTTTTCGGTCAGTCGCCACTTTGATTAATTCCTCTTAATTAATTATATTAATTTCATCACGTTTAATATTAATACTTTGTTTCACTAAAATTATATACAATAGATTCAAATTATATATTTGTAAAATATATTAGTTTCATTAATATTTTTCTTGCGATAACTTCCGATTGCATTGTTATAAATACAATCAGAACTTTTATATCCTAATTATTCCAATAAGACGTTTTTACAAGACGCAAGTTGTATAGACCCTATAAAGGATATAATAAAGTTTTTATAGGCTTGTGTTCTTTTTCCTATTATTTTTCGTTTAATTATAATTTGTTTAACCAAAATAATACCTCATAAATATAACCTAGGCTGTACTATTTACTAATAATTTTACTAATTTTACTAATTACTAATTTTTTCTTGATCTGCCCTCCTGAAATTGGGGTGCGTCTTATACACCCGTTCGTCTTATATGCCATCAAATACGGTAATTATTATACCAATATTTACCTAGTTATCTCTTTGTCCATTTATTTTTTATGCTGTCACTTCATATAACTTTTCTCTTTTCAGTCAACTTTAAAATAATTTCTATCATCCAACTATTTAGTACTTCTCCCCCCCCAATTAATAACCCCTAGTCTTGTAGTTATTTTAAAACCTTCGACCACTCAGATATATTTATTCTTTCCCTTCTACTTATCTCTATTTTATTATTCCGACCAAACCAGTCTCAAGCTTGCATTTATTTATTTTTAATTCCATCCTTTCTGGCTTTCAATAAACCAGTTGATAAACAGAACATCATTGTCTTCCATCTTGATTACCGTCAACCGTTTGTTTATCTGTCTGTCGGAGCTACGCACGTGCGCGAGACGGACGCGTAACAGGGAAACAATAGAATATTTTAACTTCTACTTTAACTCCTTCCGTTTCTGCTGTTGCCATAATTATCCAAAGAAAATAAACAAACAGCTTTCAAAATTATTCAATACCAAATTGATTTTCAACTGAGAATAAAATAAATTAGATGTAGTCAACCTAACGAAAACAGCCCTATTTTTCATACTGTTGGGTTTCCTAGAAAAGTGATTAATAATTTTATCTCGTCTGAAATGCAAAGAGACTCCCCATTGATATAATAATAACTATATCGTGTAATACTGATTTCCTTTTGGCGATTGAATTACATCTAGTATTTCTTCCACAAGAATATTCAAGCCGCTTTTGTCTAAGTCTACTCGCTACTAACACTCTTTCAACTACATTACCATTCTCACAATCCTCGAGGTCTGCTGTAGTATTATTTACACATTCTGTTTCTGATTCCTATTTATCGTGACAGGCTTTTCTTTCTTTGACCGAATTATATCGTAGGTTAGATTTGCCTGTATCTCTATCTCAAAATCCCAGAGTGTGCTTACGATTACTTTGTCTGCTTCTGGTTGAAATGAATGCCAATTTTCTTTTGGGATTTCTCACCATCTATTCTTTTCCTCGAGTATCACTGTTCTCTCCTCAATCTTACTGTCGTTTTTAAACTCTGTCTGTGGATTTCAATTTGGTTTAGATCCGCTGATTGAAAGAAAGCGTTCATATTGTTAATCTGTTTCATATTTAATGAGTAGGGCAGTGTTTCTCAACGTTTTTAAGCAACGGCACGCCTAGGAGCAAATGAAATTATCACGGCACACTTAGCAAAATCTTTATAGGGTGTACATTTAAATGTTCCGAAACTTCGACAATATTAATTCATAATTCAAAATAGCTTTGTAAAAATTTTGAATTAAACAAAAACTGTTGAATACAACTATATGAAAAAGGGTTAATATTCATTTATTCAAATTGGGGAATATTTTTAAAAGTTAAATGAAAAAAAAAAAAATATACGTTTTAAAAAATGAATATTAAAACAAAGCATTTAAAATAACATAATCCAAGAGTTCTTTAGAGTTATTTGAATAAAAAGTTTAATACTTATTCGTTTATTCAAATACTAACGTTGTTCCATTACCACACACACACACACACACACACACACACACACACACACACACACATATATATATATATATATATATATATATATATATGTACATACTTACATATATACATACATACATAGAAAACATATATACGTGCATGAAAGAAGGATTGCTGCCTAAGTACACAAATACACAAACACACACATATATATAGGCACTAAAACTTTACATTATTTATATTATTCAGACTATTGTCCTCATCTTTGCCGCCATATTTATCACAAAGTTTCGGGTGGTTGGAATGTTGAATTGAACCCTTTATTTCGCTCACTAGGGTAGACTGTTCTAGTTCCACGTGCCATGTTTGATGGGTGTCAGTTATCAGTTATCACCTGTTAATTTCCCTCTGACAGTTCTCCACTGCCTTAACCGTGTATTGAACTCACACTTTGGATCTAACGAACGCCTTAATCCACTTTACCATGTGTCCTTGAGGACATATGGGTATGAATTTCTGGGTATTATAAACCTAATGTCATAAAAAACCAGTGCTCATATTGCAATTTTGCTGTTATCATTGCATGTTTTACCAGAGCTCATATTGCAACTATGTTGTTATCATTGCTTTTCTCTGGCACTCCTTAAATACTGGTTCCCATATTGTATTTATTTCTATGCTTGGTCGGCTCATTCTATGCTTTTGACCTAGCATGTGTGCTGATTCCTTAAGTTTACGAATTTTCCAATGGTGTTCCTTGTCAGTGATCCCAACATGATCCCACAGAGGGTCTGATCTCCCTCTCTCTCATATGTGGTCAGCCATTAAAAAATTTTTCTACTTCCCCTCGTGATTACAGCTTTCTATTTTTCTTGAAGCCTTACCTTGAGGGGGCGGCCTGTCTCTTTTATATTCCTTTCCGCAGCTGCATTGGGATAGCGTACACACATTTTTAGTCATGTTCTCCTCTGTGCGCGTCTTTTTTACTCGGGAGATGTCTGCGAAGTTTCGTCAAGCTTTTGAAGGTTGTCCTGATGTTATATTTTTGTGAGTTCAATACCCGGTTAAGGCAGTGGAGAACTTTCAGAGGGAAATTAACAGGAGATAACTGATAACTGACATCCATCAAACATGGCACGTGGAACTAGAACAGTCTACCCCAGTGAGCGAAATAAAGGGTTCAATTCGACATTCCAACCACCTGAAGTAGGCCGGAGCGTACAACGGCCGAAACGTTGTGATAAATATGGCGACAAAGATGAGGACAATAGTCCAAATAATGTAAATAATGTACATAATACCTCATCTCAGAAATATAGACAGACACTGAAGGATCGGTACGGACCCGATATACCAAAAATATGGAGACAAATTGAAAAATCCTACCAGAAACTGGCACGAATATCGAACCATCTGACATTCCTACACCGATGCAGAGATCTACAACTCATCCCTTCAGGCTTGGCACCAAGACTTCCCGTCAATTCAAGGAGAGCTCGTCGGGTCGCAGAGAAAGCGGGACACGCCCTTGTCCGTGAGAGAATCCAGTACAATAGTTGGACATCGACTACAAGCTCATATCTCCCAGACGCTCGAGGATTTCTTCAATAGAATTACCAA